TTCCTTCTCATCTTCCTTTATCTCTAAATCCTCTTCCTACTTGCAGAAGAACTATCTCCCTAGTTCATATTATCAATCTCTTATCTTGCTCTTTATTTATTTATTTATTTTTTTTGGTTTTTCTCCAGTACCAGGAACCGAACTCACGACCTTGCGCTTGCCAGGCAGGCGCTTTGCCGCTGAGCTAAATCCCCAGCCCATCTTGCTCTTTAAATTAATTATATTTTGGGTTTCTCATACAAGAGAAACCATGTGATATTTATGCTTGTGTGTCTGACTTATTTTTCTTAGCTTTATGGTCTCAAGGTGCATTCATTTTCCTACAGGTGACTCAAATTTATCATTCCAAAAGCAGTCACATTTTAAGTAGGACTGAAAAGATTCCATTTACAGTTATAGTAACCAATATTTTGTCTGTTGTAATGCTTACTTAGTGAATTATCGAGCCCACCTTTACTTGTGTGTTTGTGCGGTTGGAGGGTGAAGGGATCGAAAGTAAATTCTGCTCTTATCTCTCACATGCTCCTTTCCCTTGGATCCACCCTGACACCTGGACAGCGTCCAGTCTGATGAGCGAGGTGCCAGGTGGAAGTGGCTACAATGCCTTTTGGGTGAACTTGGTTGGCAGTTCAGCTGGGGGGCGGCCCAGAGGGTAGACAATGGGAGGAGGGAGCCCTCTGACCTGGCCTTCACTCTCGCTGCCCTGGCTCTCTCTTTATCTCAGGGCAGAAGCACACGCGGAGCATGATGCAATAATCTTCTTATTTTTCAGAACTAAAAGAGCACAGCCAACAAAAGGAGGGAGAGGAAGCCCTCTTCCATTTTATCTCATTTATAGTAAGTTTGGATTGTAACAGAGTCACGCACAGGGTGTTCTCAAAGCCACGTATTTCCTGGCATACTGTCTCCAAGGTATTCTTGTTGACTAAATGTGTGTGAATATATATATCACTTGTCACCACAATTCTTATTATTTTTTGAATCTATAATTTATTTTAAAACTTGACAATGAAAGTTATAGGTCTTCTCCCCAAAATGCATAGGTATATCTCAGGAAAATTTGCATATAGTTTTGCAAACACCCATCTATGTCTCAACCACCAGGGTCTTGGTAGGCTAAAAAGCCACATTTCCATGATTTAAAAATGTGTTCTTATGGACTTGTTCAATTTACATATTACATAATAATGACTTTTCTTCAAGTCAAAAACCTAAAAAATTATGTAAAGTCACTCATCTACAACTCACTGCAGAGTTAGATCCTCTTTACCCAGAGTTAAATCCTCTTCATCTTTACAAGGAACTTGCAGTTTCTACTATAGAATGGAACCTTAATTATGATATGCCCAAGACACAGATCTGAGTGCAGAGGACTTTGATGGCAGGGCTCTGCTCAGCTGGGGGCCTTGGGACACTCCATTTTCAGTTCCTCTGAAATTTCAGTTTTGAATCTCAAAAGTATACCAGCTCACGCTGCTTGTAATGTTCTCTTCACCTCAGCTATTCATAATATTATTCACACTTGGGGCTCAGTTTACATTGTTCGTCCTCTGTGATTTTTTTCCTCTAAAACCACTGGCAGATTAATTTCCCTTTCTCTTCTGTCTTCCCATCATGTTTGCTTGTAGCTGTGCACTTTAAAGTGCTTATCAAAGTCTGTAGCCCTTTTGTTTGCCCGACTAAGAGGAGGGCCTGGAGGGGAATACTTAGTTTCTTGCAGACAATAGATGACCAATGAGTTTTATGGGCAGTTTGTATAATATTTAGGTACTTTGGCTGTTGGTAAAAGCATGCATTTAATTAGCATTTTATTTTCAGGAAAAACCCTTAAATTTCCCAAGTATCAATTTTCCCTTCTGGAAAATAAGTATGATAATAATACACACTGTACTGAGCTATTGTACAGATGAAATAATATACTGTAGTACATACAAACATTTAGCATAGCTTTGAGTATAATAAATGTTGAAAAAAGATTAGTTACATAATTTGTTGAGCAATATTTTTGTCTATTATTTTTATTTACCTTTTGATTTGACACAATTATATGTATTTATGGAGTTTGATATGATGTTATGATTCATGCACGCATTGTAGATGATAAAATCAAGGTAATTAGCATGCCCACCATATAACTTTTATCATCTCTGCATGGTGAGCATAGCTATTTAGAGATATACACTACTGAGAACTCTCTTCATCTACTGTGTAAAAGAGCACTAAAACTCACTCCTATCTATGACAGTGGACTTGCTGACCACGCCCTTCCTTCCCACTGTACCCCTACTCTCCCTAACTTTGGTAACAACTATTCTATTCAACCATCTCTGGGATTGCCTTTTTAAAATTAATGAGATCCTGCTGTATTTGTCTTTCTGAACAGAGTTTTGTAGAAGGAATTATCTTTATCTTTTTGGAATTGTGTACTAGAGTTAATAAACAAATAGAGCCTAATATGAAGACATTGTACACTTTTAGAAAATATTGAAATGTACTACTTTCAGGTCCTTTTAAACAAGTTTTCCTTTCAATCTGTGAAATCTCAATTTGGCTAATCATGTTTCAGCTACTCTAGCCAGCTCTAGGCTATGGACAGTGTCTTTAGGATACTATGCGGTATTGATTTGCTTCTAACACTGTCCCTAAGCTAAAAGACATGCATTTCTAACCTCTAAGAGATTCTAAGACCAGGTAAGCAGGTGACTCATGAAAATAGTATCTTTTTGTTTGTTTATTGAGATAGGGTCTTATTATGGATTCCAGGCTGGCCTTGAACTCATATGTAACGCAGGCTGGCCTGGTGCTTGCAGTAATCTCCCTGCTTTAGTCTGTCAAGTGCTAGGATTAGAGGTGTAGTCCACCACGCCCAGCAAAAATGGTACCTGGTAAACATGGGTTTTGAGCTCTCTACTTGAAATTCTCTCTCACTATTGTCCTTCTCTTTCCTACCAGGAATCAGGCCAGTCATTTCAGGTGGATAAATTTTCTTCTGAAAAAATAATGGCTCACTCCACTATGGTAACTAACATCTTGGGTGCAATGAACCAGCACGGTGTTAACTTGCTAAAGATAAAAAAATTATGTCTGTCTGTGTACCTTTAGCTAACTTCTCAAATCCCTTTCAAACTAGTGTTAAATTCATTTGGAGCTCACTCATTTTGAGTGCTTGATTTTGAACAAATGCTTAAGGTCAGAGATTATGTTTTATTCCTCTGGATACTCCTACATTCAAGTATTTTGACTGACACATGCAATAACTAATTGGCGATTAAAATATATGTAAGACTGCATTGAATGTGAAAAAAATAGAATTTGGCCATATTGGAATGTTTATTTTTAGTAAAGAAATTGAAATAAAAATTATTAAATATTACCTGGACTTCAAATTTGAGTTAGGAATCCATTTTTTCTGAGGAAATTTAGTGTCTGCATCAGATAGAGTATCTTTCTTTTGAGAATTCATTTTTGTTATCAGTGAGAATTTAATTATTTGCTATTAATAATATTCTACATTTATTTTCTTGTTTTTAATGTCTTTAACATCTGGCATATTTCTTTCTGACTTCCTGTCTAAATGAGAATTCATTATGTGTCTTTTTATATACCACATGTGAAAGCGGTTTCATGACTCCTATTTTTTTATGCACAAATCAGTCAACAGCAGTAGATATTCTTTTAACATTTCATTGATGTGATTTGTTTGATAACAAGAAATTAGATTTATGTAAGTATTTATATAATATGGGAATGAATCAAATAGAAAACCTTGTTGATTGATTCCCCTTATGTAATAACAGACATTTGAAGAAGCTAGGAATTGAAATCTACTTGGGACTCTTAGGATAGTCATTCATTTTTCCCTAGCCTTATGTATATGTTTTATTTAAACAATACATTCAGCTTCTGAGACGGTTTGGAAAAAAATTAGTTTTTGTTTTGTATTTCTTGTTGTTTAATGTTTAGTCCAATGGAAAAGTCTTGTTTGTTCTGTCACCCTGCCCCTCTCCCTGGGCATGTCTGCTCCAGGTTTGGTGCTGGCTGACATGCAGGTGGGCTTGTAAACTTGGAATGCTAACTCCTACCTGTGCCAGAAGCCAATCCATTGGACAAAGGAAGGCTTTTCTTCACTTTCCAGTTCTACTTTACTGGAAGCAAAGGCATCCTAATCTGCAGAATCTTGTTTAATGCAATTGTTCTATGGGGATCCATTAAGAATTCTTGGCAGTCCATTTTATTTTCAAAAGATCTACTAAAATTAAGAGAGATGATTCCCTCATGTGAAATGATTTTGTTAATGATAGTTGAAGTTATCCAGAGAAATTCTGAGGGCAATTCATTTGTGATATAGAGCCTAACATCTGAAATGGTGTTATAGATGAGTTCTTCAGACCAAACTCTTCACACTGCTGTACTATTTTCTAAAAACAAAGTATGCCTTTTGTCTTTGATAACAAACTTCTGATTCAGAGGCCAATAAAGTTTAGGAAGGGTCCTAGAGATTCAAATATCCATTAGGATTACACTTGGGAAGTACCTACTAAAGGTTTGTAAGAACCGACTTCAGTTGGTCATTAGATGCAAGCCAGTCTCCATAGAGACAGGCACACTTAGACCATCATCAGAGAGTAGGTTCAGGGATCCTGACTTAGAACAATTTTTTTTTTTTTTTTTTTTTCCCCTCCGGTACTGGGAACCGAACTCACGACCTTGCGCTTGCCAGGCAGGCGCTTTTGCCGCTGAGCTAAATCCCCAGCCCCAGAACAATTTCAAACCTGCTTTGGAGTAAATCAAATTCTTCGGATATTCTTGTGCAGCAGTTTAATCTCCTTTGGTGGAGATGCTGGACCTACATCAAATCCATGCTCTTTGAAGGTGGGCTCCATCACTGAAACTGACCTTGAACGAAGGTTGTTGTCTCCAAGGACAAGATCAAAAGTTCCGAGCCTTATGCCTGAAACAAGAGATGGTAGTGTGTCTGGTCCCAAGTTGGGCTCTCTTACCTGATACAGGTTGGCAAGGTGGTGGTTTGTTTTGATCAGAAATGGCTGATTCACCCCTGGGTGGTCAACGTCATGTGCTGCCGCCGCCAGTAGTCCAAGCATGATGTCCAGAGGTGTGAGGAAGCTGGCCAGCTGTTAAAAAAAAAATCAAGCTGAGAGGTTGGTGTGTTTCCACAAATAGGGTGGACATTTGTTTGGGCTAATAAAACAGAATGAAGCATTGTTTAGATCTTTACCCTCTGAGGAATTCAACAAGGTAATATGCACAAGGAATTGCTAGAAAAGATAGAAGGACTGCACACAAGGCAACTGAGCAAACTCCAGTTGTGTAGATCACTTGGGTACCCTCCTTTTCCTACTGCCACTCTATTTTGTTTTGTTGTAATGGCATTGCTTATTAGCACCTCTGCTATCTGGTGGGCAGGGAGAAGACCAGGAATGAAATCAGGCTTGCTCCTGGAGAAAGTTGTAAATGAAGGAAAAAGTTGAAATTGAAGAGACGGACTCATTTAAAGAATAATTTTTGTATTTCAACTCATACGTTTTTGCCTGTTCTTTGAAAGAAGTGGGCTGAATTGCAAAATTTGCATACTTCATTAATATAGAATAAACAGTGGGAGAATGTGTGAGAATCTTTTGTTTTTTGATTAGCAAAGAGAATAAGCAAGGAAATTGGAGTTCGGTACTAATAAAAATACAACTATGTGATGTTACAACTTTTGGACTTTTTAGAGATTAAAAAGCAAAACCATTAATATTTTTGGAATATTTTATAGGTATAAAACATCTACCCAGCTTTGTCCTAAGAATATCTATTTGACATCTGTAGGTTTATGTTTGATGTTAAACATCTTTACATTTAGGGAGCTGGTAAAATTGATTGAACTAAACAGAGCCTTGGGCTGGAATATCATTTTTCAAAAACTATAGGAAAACTCATCCTGTACATTGTACTGGAAATCTAAATTTTAGCCAGGTGCAGTGGTGCACACTTGTAATCCCAGGTACTCAGAGGGTGAGGCAGGAGGATCACAAGTTGGAGGCCAGTCTAGGATACAGAGCAAGAACTCTGTCTCAAAATTTAAAAAAAAGGGTTAGAGATATAGCTCCGTGCTCCTTGGGTTCTGTCTCAAGTACTGTAAAGCAAAACAACAAAAATAAATCCCCTTAAATTTTGTATAGCTAAGAATTGCTTTAGATTATGAGTCATGAACATCCTCATAATGTTTTTATTTTTAACTTTGGGTGGTTTATTGTGTCAGAACGTGCTTATTAAGAGATCTTTGACATTCATAAATTTTCATGGGCCCTGAATTCAGGATATCCAGCTGGATGAGTAGGAAGTGAAACTTGACCTTTTTAATGGTTTTGATTTCATCTGTTGATCAAAAACCATGAGGTGGAAGACTTTTTCAGTAAAGTTCAATGTCAGTGCTGGTTTGCAGTAAAGGTCCAAGGCAAAAGAGCTGATTCTTGGGACCACTGAAAATATCTAAGAGATAGATTGCCATGGAGAATGTTGCTTTTGTCCTAATGCAGACTTGAAAATATAAAAGGAGACCTCAGACAATTCATATCCTTTTTTCACCAATATTTTAAGGTTTTCAGAGCTGATAGGGGAACTTTAATATAAATAATTGTGCATTCATATTGTGAATGATTCCTAACATGGTTGTTTGGATATGCTGCGTAATTTAGAACTCAGCAGGCAGTTTACTTGGCATTTCCAGATGGCAAGGGGCGAGCTGGGTCTTGCTTTACCTTTGGCTCCTTCAGGTAACAATGCATGGCCTGGGTGACATCAGCGGCGTGAACAGCATTGTGATACGGGTTTTGGCCATGGTAATCTTCTTGAACCATGACTAGGAGGTAAACAGATAACTCAGTTAGCTAAAACCAAAACAATAATGACATACTAGACCAGATTACTGAGGGTGCTTTTCGTTAAAAATATTAGTGCCTCCGAAATGCACAGCCTGGGGTGCTTTTAAATATGAAAGTGGTTTGCAAGGTTGGCAGTTTTACTGAGTTGCTTGGAGTGGAGCGGGTGGGGGAGTTGAGTCGAGGGGAGAAAGGCCAAAAGGATTTGTGAGGCCGTTGGGATTTCTCACCTCCTTCATAAATCACCCCTTTCTGGCATTCATGAAGGCCCTCATTCATAGAAAAAATAAATATGTAGGAAAAGGACAACTTTATTTTACACCGTAGTTCAGTCATTTAAGTTTGCTGCCATTTATGAATAATACACCAAAAACGAAGCTTCCTCTCTGAGCCCTGGCAGCATCAGATTCCTAATACCCGATGACTGGATTTCCACTTGAATAATAAATACTGGCCTGAGAGGATCTGGGGTTTCTTCAGGTAGATATTCAAAACACTGCATTGATCCAAATGAAGCCTTATTGGCTTTCTTTGTACCTTACTCAAGGTCAGATGGCATCTTTCATGCCCCTCCAGTCTAATGCAAGGCTCAGAGCGCTCTTGGAACCACGTTGAGTGATAGCTGAGGCAATTCTGGTTTGCTGTTTACAGAAGCCACCAGCCTGCTCCGGCTCATATTCTAGTCAGTGCATAGGATGTGATACATGCGGCGGGGACGGTAAGTTCAGATTTGCGGGTGTGGCCATATTCTCTTGGCCAGTGCTATGAATCTGGCTCTGGATTCTGGTGGTAATTCAGTTACTGAGAATGCATTTAAAATTGTTCTCTTGGCACATACATGTATCCAAAGAATCTGTATCTATATCTTCTCCTTTAGACAAACCAGTTATTTGGCCCTATTCCTGGCCGTTACTTTATTCAAACAATTAAAATGCAATCAACCTGAAGTCCTTTATGTTTCTGGCAAGAAACCATGTTTTGTTTGGTTTCAGATATTTCTGTTTGCCACATATACTTTTATTCAGCTGCTCTGTTTTACAATTATATTTAAACCTTGGCTCTATCACTTATTATCTGTAGTGGGCAAATTACTTAGTTACCAGTTGCCTTAGCTTTCTTCTCTTTAAAATGGGGATAACAGCAGTTCTGCGCTCAAGGTGTTGCTGCGAGGATTTTAAGTGTTAATGCATGCACATCCTTGGAATAGGTCCCAGAGGTGAGTACCATGTAAGCCTGGCTCTTGGGGCTGTTGTTATTTTACTCCTGATGACAGTAACTCGGCTTCCAAATTCAGAACGCAGCCATGTGGCAAGCTAAAGAAGTCAGGAACATGCTAAGTGGTAGAGGGAAGCCATTTAGTGATTAGAAATCTTCCCTGGATAATTCATTGACAGATAAATAAGAATATGAACAAAGTCAAAGAAGAACCAGGACTGCTTTTTGATTAAAAGTGATGGGCCAATTGAGCGGAAAGATGGCAGACTTTCAAGTTAGACAGGCCTCAGTGTGAACTGAGGTCCTGCCACTTCTGAGCAACGGGCCTTGGGAAAGTAATGGAACCTCTTATTACCTCTCCTGAACTCATGTGCTGATTAGAAGTAGCTGAGAATACCCTGCTGGGGCTTTTGTTAATCTAACAGCAGATTAGAATCTAAGCAGATTGTTAATCTTAGAGCAGATTAGAATCTTCTTTGACAGCTATGTTTTGTTTATAAAACCTTAATCTATTTTAACAATAACTAATCAAGTAGACAATTTATCAGTGACTTAAGCTAGATGAACCATGTTTTAAAGCTAACATTTGATCATTTAAAATTAATTTGAGGCCTTTACCCATCATGCTATGGTTCTTGCCACTTTATAAGAAGAGTATTAGGCACTGTGATTATTCACGGGGGTAGAGTTAGGAATATGGAAATGAGGACTTACCTAAAAACCTGTGCAAGGTCACCATATCCAACTTGAAATGGTGAATGAGTCCATGGGTGTTGAAGAGGTGGCACAGCAGTGTTACCAGGCTGTTTCCTAGAGGAGAACAGTCATCTGCTTTAACTAGCTGTTATCACCACTAAAATAGCAAGTCTGAACATAAAGAGCCAGAGGCTCCCTGTAATAAGGCTTCTCGGACAGAACACCTCCCCACCCCCTCTGGATCTGGAAGTATCCAAGCATAGAGCATACTGTTACTATGATCTGGCCTAGATTTTCTCTTATTCTACAAATAAAGGTAGCTCTGATCTTCTCCTCATAATAAAAGAAATAAAAATATTAGAACAAGGAATGTGCCTGCTGAAGCATCAAGGACACGCACATGTGTGGGTGTATAAATATATGTACATATTTAAAAACCACAGTTAATGGCTTGAAATGTAACATTCCCTGTGAACTGTAATTTACAAGGGTATCTAAACCACAGTATTACCTAACGGTTTTGGCCTATTTTTCTTCTGATGAAAAATCACCTGAGAGGAGATTTGACTATGAGATATTTTAGAATGCAAGCCAGTGGAGCTACAAACTTGAAGCTATAATAACTTGTAAGCATTCATGAGTTATTGCGTATTTAAGAATAATGATTTTGAATTTTAAAAACCGTAAATAGTCAAAGAAATTAGGCTAAGTGCAATAAACCTGAACCACAGAGACCAATACTGCGTGATCTCATTTGTTTGTGGAGTCTAAAAATCTGTTCTCACAGTAGACAATAGAATGACGGTTACCAGACACCAGAAAGGGGGTGGGGTGAGGGGAGGTTGGTCAGCAGGTACAAAGGTACAGTTAGAAAGGGTAGTTCCTGTTGTACCATTACACACTAAGATGACTACAGTTAATAATAATGTGTATTTCAGACTAGCTAGTGGAGAAGAATTTGAATGTTCTTACCCCAAGAAAAGATAAATTTCTGAGATATGGATATGCTAATTGCCCCACCTGAATCATTACACAATGTGTGCGTGCATTGAAACAGCTCGTTGTCCCCACGCCTATGTACAATTATTGTGTGTCCATTAAAATTTTTAATTAAAAAAAAGACTTTGAAATGGACCAGCCTAGGTGTCTTGAATGGAAGACGAGGAGTTCCCTAATCATGGTCTTTCAGGATACCTCATTTCGTTGGTCTCTGCAAAGGTATTATCTTTGAATTTTTTCACAAAACAAATAGCATTGCAAATGATTCTTGCCCACAGATTTACAAATAAAATTGAAAGTAGAAATATAACTGATTTTCCCCTCTTGATTTTACCACTACTTATCAATTCATTTTAGCATTTCTTTTTTGTAGGTACCGAGAATTGACCCCAGGACCTTGTGCTTGCCAGGCAGGCGCTTGTGCTGCTGAGCTATATCCCCAGCCCTCGGCATTTCTTACTGCATATAGGTATGTGGTTCTTTGAATTCTCCTTTTGTGCAAATGATAGCATCTTACTGGATCTCTAATTAATGAAGTTAATAAAATCTTTGATATATGTTTGTTTCATATTTTGATGACAATCATAATTGTATTCTCTTTTAAACAAATACTATTTGACAAATTCTTTTGTCAACAGTTAGTATCATTTGTCAGTATCCATTTCTCAGTTGATTTGAGCACAGTGGAAGGCACGGTTTTGGGATCCATCCCCTTATGGTCCAGTTTCCTTTCCATGGTGTGAAGATCCATTTATGACCTTAACTGCACATTGTTTGCTGAGCAATAGAATGATGACAAAACCATCTATAACGACTTAAAGTGCAAGCTTGGCAGATGATAAGACACATCAACATCAGCATTAAATCCAGCGTCTTTCATGGGCTCCCTAAGCTTATCCATCTTTGTTTAATGGACAGATGAAAACATATTAAGATGTTATTATTTTCTTAAGGAAGGCTTTTATGGGCCCCAAAATTTAAAAAGGAAAACTAATAGGAATGTTGACATTTCTCTTCAGTGGCAGCCTAGGCTTTTACGTTCTATTCATAGAAATTGTTTTCTTCTGATGCTGGCAAACATATTTGAGCAGTACATGCAACAGGGCAGACTCAGATCACTTTAAAAACTACAGCCTACCCTGTAAGTCAGGACCAATGAGATACGCTTTTATGTTTCCACTTTTCATTGACTAACAATGAACTTTGTACTTTTGGATGTGGCCAAAGTATTCTTGCAAAGAAAGAATCTTATCTGTGGTTTCCTAATTCCTTTGGGATTATCAAGGTCAGAAGGAAACTGTCCCAAGATTCTAAGGCTAAACTGAGTCCCCATTCTTCATCTAACTTATTTTTCCCTTGGTCTGGTCCTTCTTGAATGACTATAGATTTATGAAAGTGGAGAAAGAAGAAAAAAAAAAAAGACTAACATGTTTAAAAATAAATTTTGTTTCTCATGAAATGAATCCCACTTTATGGTGTGTATTTTAGTGAGAATTCTTTTGGGTAACTTACCATTTGTCAAACGATCAAACAAGAAAATGTCAAAGTCCCACATTCCCACTTTGGAGAGCATATGCTGAAAAGGCAAACAAAAAATAGCACCCAAATGAATCACACTGAGAACCAAACATTTACTTTGAGACACAGTGAATTAAACAATTAAAAAGTTGGAAATATCACACTATTCTCTGTGTACAACTGGTTTGGAGTAAATCAGATCTTACTCTGTTTTCTGATGACATTTTAAAGGAGAGGCTCTGTCGTTGAACTGCTTGATCAATTTTTACCTGTCTCTTTCTGGCTGTGGAACCTTGGCTACAGTCCTTAACTTCTCTGGGCTCCAGTGTCTTCATTTGAAAAATGTGGCTGATGCTATCGACTTCAGAGGATCGACTACAGTAATACTGAAAAGTGCTGGGTGCAGTGCTCATTCATGGTGAGCCCACACGTTGGTGTCTGTTAAACTGTCCTTCAGTAAAATGTCTATATCACAAGCTACTAGGTACTGAAGGAAGGAGGGTTACAAAAAAAGAAGTGAAAATGATTGCTGAGCGCATTATTCTTCTAATGTGGCCTGTATGTGAAATTAACCTTTGGATAGGAAATTGAAGAGCAAGTAATTGAAAATATTGGATAATTTAAAGCTGTATTGTCCAATGCACACTTATTATTATATTTTTCTTTTTTAAAGTACTCCATGCCTAGAATTAAATGTTGACACAAAAGCCACAGTTGTAGGTTCTATCCTCTCTATAACTCCTGAAACTGCACACACTTCTTTTCACACAGCTACATTTGAGGAGAAAGTCCAGATGTATTAAGTAATGAACCCAGAGACACAGAGGTCCCTAGAAGTAGAGTAGGACTCAGACCCCATGTAACATCAGCTGAGGACAGGCTCTGAACCACCGGACTACGGCAGGGAGGCAGAGGGGTGACTGGCTTACCCTGGCTTGTCCAAGGTAGTCTTCATCCAGCAGGTGGAGAGGGGCTTGTGGTATAATGCCACGGAGCAGCCTCGATGCATAGAAGTATCTTTGGAAACTTAACAGTCTTTTCACCTTTTTCTTGGTGCCAATTTCCCCTGAGTGTGTTGTATCTGTGGGAAGTAACCAAATGCAGCAGTTGAAATATTTAAAAGAGAGCTTATTTTTATCCACCTGTGTAAAAAATAATATATTAAGAGGAGGGAGATTTAAAGGATGATCTCAATACTTTGGGGACTAACTTGAGTTAAATATAGTCTATCTAATGCTGTACTGCAAATTGCCATAGAACATAAATTGTGTTTCTTTATATGGCATTTATTAAAAGGTCAAGAGATTTACGAATGTACTTTTAAAGGACATGGAATATATGAATTAAAATTCTTTGCTTTTGTTGGAATGTGAAATCTACACATGTCTGCATGCATTTGAAATGAATATTTTTTTCCTGTTGTATTGGAACTGCAGTTTAAAAACTTAGGCCAAGTTCTCACCCCATACTCTCTCCATTTTGGAAGAGCTGTGAGGAAAATGTTTCCTAACAAGAAGCAGACAGGATGCTTGGCTTCTATGGGAGTATATTCTTTTACTGGTAGCCATAAATGTCTGATTTGGCAGTAGAAATATTTTAGTGCTCATGTCACTTGACTGTGACATCATGGTGGTTGTCCAGAAATGTGCCAGGCATATTATTTGAATATCTGTCAAGGTATGTCATATCTCAGCTGAAGTTTTATTAGTCACTCTAGGGCTACATAGGTGACATCTGCTGCTGCTTTTGGACCTAGAGATAATTTAACAATCTAGTAGGAAAATGTACAGCTCACATATAAAGTAATTTTGGTTTCTGTCATTGCTTCTCCCATCTCTCCTTTCCCCTTTGGAACCCAAAATCAAAACAAATGCCAGAAACAGAGAAAACTGGGTATTCTTGATGGCAGTGAATGACCAGCATCCATTCCCTACTTAGGTTGTATTATGCGTGCAAATGCACCATTCAGGACCGGCAAGACCTACTGTTCTCTGGAAATGCTGCTGATTAAAATTATTTTTATCTTAAAATAGATCTAGATTTCATCCACAAAAAGAGATAAACACATACAGTTGGAGGTAAGTGGAGTATGACTACAGTGTTTAAACACAGTTCAATATTTAAAATTAT